AAAAAAAAACCCAGCTGAGCTTCCATATTCCAAAGCTACAAGCTGGTCCCCGAAAACCCTTTCACATAACCTATTTATTGTTACTTCAGAAAAACAAACAGTAGATATAAGTAACCGGGGGATGCATTTACTGGCAATCCCTCCGGTAAAAAAAAAAAAGGAAAAATTCAACCTTAACCGGAACCATAAAAAGATAACATCACGCTTGATTCGCCAAATCCTCGGCCTTTATGAACGTGCCGTGAAAACCGTATGGCACCCTCGATGGCAGCTTCACGCTCGCCTCCCACTCCATAGTCTTCGCGTTCACGATTTGAAGCTCCGAAGTCCCGTTTCTCTCGTCGTGCACGAAAATCAACACATAACCCTCGTCTTCGTGCTCGTTGCTTTTGCCCGTGGGTACGAACATTGGCTCCCCACCGTACTTCTCGTCTCCGTAAATGTATTTCTCGATTTTACCCATCGAGAGGTCGACTTTCGCAAAACCCGAGACTTTCGGCCACGGTTCGGCTATAGCGAGATACCCGAACCGTGTCTTCCGACCGAGCATGTTCCGGTTGACCATACCCGCCTCGAGGTTGACTTGATCCTCTTCGGACAATATCGGTTTCCGCACGGATTTCCCGGTTTTAAGGTTTAGTCGGATTTCGGACAAGACGCTCTCCAACCCTTGGTCGCTTTCGTTGAAAATTGAGTCGGCCGGGGTCATGCACGAGCCGATCACGACGACCTCGTCCAAGTCGGGCTCTTCCCACGCGTTCCATAAGTGGAAGCAGAAACAGTTAGGCACGTCGACCCATTTGATATCCGAGGCGTCTCGTGCGTACCTTCCGAGCACGCCGAAACGCGAGACCTTTCTCTTGTCGTAAACGACGGGGGACCCGCCGGAGGCCATCTCGGTAAGCCGAAAAACAACTTGTTGGTCGGGTATGACGACGAAGTTCTCGGTTATCGCGAAGTCGTGCATCATGGTGGGGTCGGAGGTGGGGATCTCGACGTCGGGAGACTTCTCGCCGGATTTCGAGACGTGGAAGTATTTGAGATAAGGTTTTTGGATGACGTCGTAGGAGAGGGAGAAGAGTTCGCCAGAGACCGGGTCGATTTTCGGGTGGGCGATCATGTTGGAGGTGAGGCGGTTGTTGAAGGTGTGGCGGCCGACGGTGTGGAGGTCGCCGGAGTTGGTGAGGCGGACGTGGTAAGGGA